TTATGTGTTAGCAGAATATTTAATCAAATTACAGAATTTAAAAAATTTGTTTCAACTAGATAAACACCAAAGCCAGACTAACAAGGAGTCTCAGTTGTAGAGTAATTGCATGACAGCCCAGGGTTCCATCCCTAGCATCACAAAGGAAAAATAAAAATTATGTAGTAAGCCAAAGGAATTTCAACAGTCTTTAAAATACATGCATACACATAACTTCCACTTTAAAACTAGGGAACACAAATTTAAAATAGTTGTTAATCAGAGTTTATCAAAATAAGACTGTTTTTAAAGTAATTTACTTATTGTTCATAGTTCTATTATGTAGACAGAGATGGGGTATGATGCAATCTCAGGTTCAAAGAGTCAATTATAGAACACTCCTTGGTTTGCGATATATAATAGATTTTTAAATGACATTTGCTAAAAGTTCATATCTTCCTAATTTCATCTTTCCTTTGAAAAAGTGTTTATGAAGCAATTCTACACAATTAATATGATTGCTATATACTGCAAACATATATTAATAAAAATAAAAATTCAAAAAAGGAATGATGTGACAAACACCTGTAATTCCAAGACTATAGAGGTTGAGACAGGAAAATTGCTGTGGATTTTAGGACAGCCTGGGCTACATAATCAGTTCAAGGCTAACTTGAACCACGTAGAGAGACCCTGTCTAAGAAAATTAAAAAAAGAATTTAAAACTATTCAGTAATTATAATGCATCTTAATTTAGATTAAATTACATGTTCAATTACAAATATAATTGTTGAATTACAAATATGTTTAGAACCATTATTAAATAAAAATAGTCTTTTTGCCTCATGATAATTTATGAAATTTAGTTAGTTATTACTTTCATCTGTACCCACAGTGATTTTAATGATGGTCATAAACTATGTGATAAATTGAATTGAAGAATGTGCTCAAAATTAGTGATAGTCATAATTTTTCAAAATCTATTTTGCCTTGTCACAGAAGAACACCATTTTTCAGTCAGCTAAGGCAAATCTAAACCACATAATTTGATTCAAAGTGGAAATTGACTAAAACATTAACAATCTGTGTCTAAATAATAGAACTATGAACAATAAGTAAATTACTTTTAAAAAAAGAATCTTATTTTGATAAACTCTGATTTGTCATTTTGTAATTCGGGGATCATGCTATGCAAGAAATCTCTGCTTACCCTAATATTAGAAAATTTTCTCGTATATTTCTTGTAGAAGTTTTATATTTTGGAATTTTATAGTTTGTTCTATAATCTATTTGAGATGAATTTGTCTATCATGTGAAATATGAGTTTGTCTTTTTGTTTCTTTTAGTTCACAGGCTTCCCATTATTCCAGTGCTCTTTCTATTTTATCTGTTCATGTTTGTCTGTGCTAATATCGCAGTCTTGATTATTATGGGTTTGTAACAAAATTTGCACTTAGTCCTCCAACTTTGTTCTTTTACTAAATTATTGTGACAATTAAGGTTTAGATTATTAGATCCTTCAATTTCCATCTTGACTACTATATTTTTAAAATAAATGTTACAGTTAAGTAGTATTAATCCTCCAACTTTTGTTCTTCCACTGTTATTCTGACAATTAGGATTAATATTTTTGTCCTTTTCCATCTACTTGTGATGACTATTCTGAATGCAATAGAATGGAATTTTTTTTTTTTTTTATGGTATCAGGGATATTACAACCTCGCACTTGCCACGCAGGTGCTTATGCTACTGAGCTAAATTCCCTGTCCTAGGACTAATATTTTTAAATAATATAATTTTAATTTGAGTTTTAGAATCAATTTATTAGTTATAAAAATCAAAACCTGGGATTTTGACTCGAATTGAATTTATAGATCAATTTAGTGAGATCTAGACTCTTGACTCATGAGTACTCTTGATTTTCCCACTTATTTAAACGTACACATTTGAACATCTCTATGGTACTCTATTACAGCATTCAGTCATTAATATCTTTATTCGTATTTGTCCTTGTTTAATATTTTGATGCTATTATGAATGGCATTATTCTTCTAATTTCAATTTATGGTTGTTTAATTCTAGCATAAAGAGAAGATAGAAAGATAGTTGACTCAAAACAAAACAAAAAAGTGCCTAGATAGAATGAAAACCAGGAAGTATAATAAGAGGCCAGTAGGCTTCCCTGGTAATTTAGGTCTAGCTAACTTAGGTCTGAATTAGGGAATGAACATTCTAACCCTCTTCATTGGTTGATTCTTCTATGTATAGTCAAGCAAAATATAACAAGATTTTAGATAACATTTGAATGCTTAAACTTAAGCAACTTGACTGTCTTCCTTTCTTTTCGTAGCATTTTCTGGAAAATGTTAGTTATGCATACATTGGTTACATTTTTGAATAGATCTTATTTTAGATAAAATGTGAAAACTCTATAGACATCTCTTATTACTATAGCTTTCTTTGTTTATATGAGTCACCATTGGAAAAGCTTCATAAAAGCATGGTAATATTACATAGTTGAGGAAATAAGCAGATCTGAATCAACTCATTGGTTTCTTGGCTTACACAAAATTCTGAAGCAATTTTACTCAACCATTTTGGTCACTTGGAGTTAAAAAACTGAAGAATTCTTACATCAGAAGTATAGTGATAAATATCTTCTCTCTTGATCTATCTGCTTATATGCTTACTCTTTCATCTAATTTTTGCCAAACTTTGATATTATAAAAGAAGATTTACAAGGTTTGTTTTGTTTTTTCTCTTTTTCCTTTTAAATAAAATTTTTAAAAAATTTTAAAAAAAGAAGATTTACGACTATTGAGTATTTATGACGTATAACTTATACTAATAGGAAACTTATCTAGAAAGGCTAGGAAAGGGAATTTTGGTACTTAGACACTGAACATAATGTAGTTTTTCATGGTTGTCATAATTCTGCTGCCCTCTAGTTGCAGACAGAAGCAAGTTATCATGGGTGTCCAAAAGTATACAATGAGTTTTTTGAACAACTTTTTAGAAGCATAATTTACACACCATCAAATTCATGCACTTTAAATGTAAATTTAATCATACTTTAACATACTTACCGACTCATGCAGCCATTCCCACAAATCCAGTTTTAGAACATTTCCATCACCACGTATCTACTGTAACTCCCAGGAAACCACTAATCTGCTGTCTTTTTTGGGAAAATTCCACATAAACAAAAACGAGTTATTGGCATCTGACTTCACTCAATAAATTTTTTGAGCTTGTCTATGTTGTAACATGTATAAACCAGTAGTATGAACCTCTTTTTCCCTCCCTCCTTCTTTCTCCTTTTCTTTCATTCCCTTCCTCCCTCTTTCATAAATAGTACTTCTTTATAGTGTTAGGCTATTTATTTGTGCTTCTATTACCAAATATTTGAGTCTGATTAGGATGTAAAAAGCATACATTTGTTTTTCATAGTTCTGGCACTATGATGTCTAATGTACCATAGACTTGGTGTTTGGTGAAGGCCATCTATGTTCAAGATGTTCCTTTGGTGCTATATCCTCAAATGGTGGAAAGTGAAAGGGCAAGAAGAGTCCTAGCTAGTTCTTTTTTTGCCATTTTATAAGCTTACTATTCCTATTTTTGTGCCATTGGCTTATAACTTAATTTTTACTAAAGATTCATTCTCAATGTTGGCACACTAGGGATTTAAGATTCAGAATGAATCTTAGAAATGGTGACACAAACATTGAAGAGATAACATTTCAATCCTTGCTCCCTTTCTACACATAAAATAAATATATTTCATCTTAATAGCTCCAAAAGAATTAACATGTTCTTGTACCAAGTATATTGAAATCCAACAAAGTAAACACTAAATCCTGAGGTTTGAGGTAAATTTCTTAGACCCATGTCATAACTTTTGAACACAATGATTGGAGTCCAAGGCTTTGGAAAGTCCCATGGATCTTCTGGGTATAAGCCATACATTTGCCTTCCTGAGCTGGAGTTTGGTAGCTATAACTCTCCTGTGTTGGCAATGCATTTCATCGTGGATTGACAAAACAGGGTCTGAGGGAGTTCCTGATATCAGGCATAACCCTAGTTGGGGCTTCACTAATGTGACTCTTCTTTCTGGCTGCATGGCTCTACTGGGCATGTTTTGAAAGCTATGTAGCATTTATTTATAGCTCATGCATTCTGCACACCTGCAGTGTTAATGCTGCTAAGTTAACCATGTTAATGCTGCTAAATTAATCACTTATTTCCTGTGGAACAGTGGACTGAGCCAAATATGGCCTTCTGGAGATGCCTTTGTACTCATGAGCCACACCTCTGGTGGCTCAGGAATTCTGTGCCAGAATGCACCAACCCAGAAACCGACAAACACCTGAGTACCTTTTCTGAAATCATTCTACTCCAGGCGCTGACACTCTTGGCCTCATAGATATGACAATCTCAAAGATCTCTCAAATGCCTTCTTTCCATTTTCTCCATGAATAGCATCTGGCTTCATTCTATTCAAACTAATCCCCACCCTTTGTACTTTCTCTTGCAGACCATTTTTATTCTATGCAATCTGGCCAGGCTGCGAATTTTTCAAATCTTTATATTCTGCTTCTCTTTTGGTTAGAAATTCCATCTTTAATCCATTTTTGTCTTTTCTCAATTTAGCATACTGACAGGAGATGCCATTCAGTATGTTACATACTGCCAAATATTCTAGCACATCCTTCTAGCTATGCACATATTACATATTCTAGCTGTCTTTGTGTGTTACCCAAGAAATTCAGTGTATTTATTTCACATGGTACTGAAATATACTTCAGGATATTTTGGTTAACATTTGCAGCTAGCTGTTAATCAAAATAAGACTGTATCTGGTTAGTGGTATATGATGAATAGAAAACCTTAACATTTTTTTTCTGGAAAAAATTGTATGTATAAATAGAATTTTTATAAAATGGCTTTTGATTTTGAAAGAATAAAGATAAATAATTGTCTAGTTTTCACATTTTATTTTTAATGTGTATATATTTCTTTAGCATTTGTGGAATCCAACATCTGGAACGAATAGGAAAGAAGCTGAATCTGTTTGATTCCCTTTATTTCTGCATTGTGACGTTTTCCACTGTGGGTTTTGGTGATGTCACTCCTGAAACATGGTCCTCCAAGCTCTTTGTCGTTGCTATGATCTGTGTTGCTCTTGTGGTTCTACCAATACAGGTAAAGATAATCTTTTTAGATTTTAGAGGAATACATAGTCTTATAAAAATTGAATATTCTGTATTTAACAAGAATTCACGGTAGTTTACTTAGGTAACAATAATATAGTAACACATACTATTGGTATGTTTAATTATTGTAGAGTATTTAGCTGTATTAATTACATGAAAATATAACTAAATTTTAGGATAATAGACTATGGAAATAAATTTGTGAATGATCGATTTTTAATAGTTCTTGAACATATACCGAAAATCCATGGAATCCAATGTCTTAAAAATTATCTATGTTGAGCAACTAAGATAAAATATGGACATATTTTGTGTATAAACATCATGCAGCACTTTTAAGTAAAGATGTAGCTGAGGAATAAAAGTATAATATGTGACTAAAGAGAAGTAGAAGCAATTTCCAACTGTTTCATATAACGAGCCCTGGATGCCCTTGTGTGAGCAGGTCAGAAATGAGATATAGTTAGTAGCAATTATACTTGCATGGTCATTACACAACTTTGATTATAAGGCATTTAAATACACCTCTGTAGATAAGAGTGGACCTTTTCACTCATATGACTTTCTTTCTGACATTTCTCCCTTGAGCTCTCCAGTGTGCTCAGTTTAGGTCTACTGTACAGCTAAAATGCAGTGTTGAGTGTGTGGTAAGGTTTTTTCCACACCAGGACAAATGTAAGGTAGGCAAAATGTAAGAAATGGATGTGAAGAAATACCTATATGGATTTTCTGTATCTCTCAGCAAATGACCTACCATATTATGCTGGATATAGAGCAGATGCACAAAACCATTAGTGACCTTATATAATATAATAGCAAAATCATTTTAGTATGTTTCCTTAAAGACCTGAAGCCCTGGGGTACATTTATAGCCTCTGCAGAAATGATTTAAGTCTGTAAAAGGGATCACAGACCATTTGAATCTCAATGAGTTTATCTAAGAAATTTTATATACCTCATAGTAGACTACTGCACTGAGTTTTTAAAAAATTATCATGTCTAGTGTTTTTTATTCACATGTAAAAATACTTCACAGTTTGAACAGTTGGCATATTTGTGGATGGAGAGACAAAAGTCAGGTGGAAATTATAGTCGACATAGAGCACAGACTGAAAAACATGTTGTTCTGTGTGTCAGTTCCCTGAAGATTGATTTGCTCATGGATTTTTTAAATGAATTCTATGCTCACCCAAGACTACAGGTATGTTTCACTTCTATTATGCACAATGCTAGATCAAATCTACCAACATATTGTCAAGGTCAATTAAGGAACAGTGGTGGCTCATTCTGTAGGATTTTTATTTATACAGCCAATTTAAAAAGAATAAATGAAAAACCACAAATGTAACCAGGAACACAGACAAAAATGCTGGAAGAATAAACTATCTAAAATTTCCTTCTGTATCTACACTGAGAGACAGATGGAATTGTGTTAATGTTGGAAAGAAAAATTTTCTTTGAATTAAAGGATTGCTTTTATCCCTTGGAGAAAGCATAAATGATATTTTTATGAAACAGTGAATTTTAACATAAAATATAATAAAACAATGAAGAAGCCATTTCAATATCATCTGCTCATTTAAATACTTCAGACTTATATGAAGTATTCGTTATGGAAATGTGGAAGTCTAGAATTTCTACTTTTATTTATTTTTTTTTACAATAATAGATGAAAATATGAATTCAGCTCTTCATTTGCTAAAGCAGATAAAGTCTTTATATACTTTTACTATCCATGGTTGTGTAGCAGTGTTGATTTAGATAATTTTAATTCCTACAAATATAGTTTAGTTCAAAAAACAAGTAGTGGTCCTATATTTCCTCAGTACATTTATGTGGAGAGATTGAATAATTCCTGATCAAGACATTGCAGGAGATACCTAGTTATCCTTTCCCTATAGAGATTTATGAATATGTTGGAGACCTTCTTAAATATTATAATTTTATACTTTAAAAATTTATTAGTGATACTAAATTATATATTTCTTTGTCTTCATATAAATTCATTTTTGTTCTTTGTTCATATCTTGGATATTTAACATTTTTCATAATTTCTAGCTTATTCATTTATAGCAATCAGGAAAATTATTTTTAGGGAAAAATTTGATTTGACAATAATTAACATTCTGTATGATGTATAGAGAAAGTTCACAAAAACTCTAAACATTTCCACTAAGTATATTCCTTAGCAATAAAATACTGAATATTTACTAGAAAAACTGTATTTTATAGGTTAGTTTGTTTAAAATAATTTTATCATTTACAATACTTTTGTGTTTTTTCCAAAGGTCCATATGCTTTAAATATTTTCATTTCAAACGTTTATTTACTTTGTTAGTATTTTCAATGTTTTTATCAATTCTTATTCAAATATTCATCAGTAATTATTAAAAGTCATCTGTTCATATTGTTACCTAATGATGTATAAATCACCATAGCTGTTATTTGTTTGTTTATTTTGTCAGTCACCTGCTGGGACTGAACTCAGGGTATCACCTTATGCTTGTCAAGTGCTCTTCTGTTGACCCCTTACAGTGTCGATTCTACAGATGAAACCTTGAAGTATGAATTGATTCTTAAACACTTTCACTTGATGTGCAAAAGTATTTCAGGCTGAGTCTTTAATTATAATTAATATTTTATGGCTAAAAGAGTACTCAAAGTATAATAACTGGTTACGTGTATGGTACAAATTTATTGCAAAGAGATTAGAGTCAATTATTTTTGAGATTTGTGTATGTCTCAGTTTTAGTACATTGTAATTATACTAAATATATGCCAACATTTTAAATGCAATTATTTTTCAGTATTGAGAATTAAACATGGGACTTTCATACTGAAACTACATTCTCAGCTCTTTTTCTATTCTTATGTTGAGACAGGGTCTCAGCAAGTTTCTAAGTTGCCCAGATGGGCTAGAACTTGCATCCTCTTTCCTCAGCCTCCTAGAGTTCTAGGATTATAGGCATGTGCCATCATGCCTACTTTAAGTGCAAACCTTTATTTGTTAGTAAGAATTCATTTCAACTTGGCTTCACATTTAAAAAATATTCTTAATTATTTTATTTGCCTCTGCAGTATAAGATAAAGTATTATTGTTCCTATTGCACTGTCCCTTTTGTTTTGAATAGGATTATTATGTGGTGATTTTGTGTCCTACTGAAATGGATGTACAAGTTCGAAGGGTATTACAAATTCCAATGTGGTCCCAAAGAGTCATCTACCTTCAAGGTTCAGCCCTTAAAGATCAAGATCTACTGAGAGCAAAGTAGGTATCCTTGCCTATTTTCTATTTTTTTAGTAGTTTTGAGTGCTTTAATATCTTTTTAACCATCCTATTTTAGCAATGCTCTGTGTTATAAGATTTGTTTTGGTATGTTTGGGTATGGAAGGTAGCCTCAGTCCTGTTCCTGGTCAAATTAAAATGTTAAAGATGCAAAATCAGTGTATTTACTTATCTTTCCCAGCATTGTGTGAGGTAAAAATGGTCAACAGACTGTGTCTCCATGATGCGGGAAGTGCAACATGTATTAATTGTCTCAGTTATCACAAATGGGCAGAAATGGGTGTCCAGACTCATTGTTTCTGGAATAAATTGTAGAGTGCTCGACACTGCTTGTATTCCACAAATCAAAATCTTGGACTGAGCATTATGTGAGGTAGCAAAATAGTGATCCAGGTTTAAATTTAAAGAGTGAGCAATATGTGCTAAGGAGGTAGCAATCAAGGTGTCTGGGGTCAGAGATAATAGAATCCTTCTGGCTAGAGTGATTAGGAAGGTGAAAGGTTTCACTGAGCTACCTTCTTGGCATTGTGTATGCGTCAGAAAAGTCTGACTTAAGATTGTAGAGTTAAACCATTTGTCACAGGGCATAGGAGACTCACCACATGAGCCGTGTGAAGCATGGAAGGAAAATCTGTGGCTCTCAGGAGATCAGGACTTCAGCAAAGCAGTGCCCTTATTTCAGAAGCCAGAAGAAATCTTCAGTACAAAATGATCTTGCTAAATAATATCTGCTTCTTTAAAACTTTTAAACATGTCTTCATGTTTATCTTTGAGATGTACTACAGGCTGTTACAGATTTAAAAGTCTCCCTTCCAAATTTTATAACTTTCCCTTCCTTTTCCTTCCCTTTGTTCCCCACTCCTTTGATTTCTTTCTTCTGGTTTGCCTGTATATGTATATGTGGATGGTGTATTATTGTTTGAGTTTCTGTGCAAGTTAGCTTAGCTTAGCTTAGTTTAGCTTAGTGTGTGTGTGTGTGTGTGTGTGTGTGTGTGTGTGTGTATGTGATGGCATTGAAGAAAGAGCAAACAAGAAGTAAAATGTACTTTGTTCTGCTTGACTGTGCAGGCAATAACTGGATGGCCTCCTGGTAGTCAAGAACTCCAAAACTATATCTGATTTGTAAATATTAAAGCCAATTTAGTATAGGAATTTTTCAGTGATTTTTTTTCTCTGAAACAAAAAAAATTATCCCAAACTATGAGGATATAATGAATGGTACATAATTGATTTAATATTGCTGAGATTTTGTTAGTGTTTTTGGTGGATTAAATATTTCATATATGTTGTCTTTCTGTAAGGACGTTCTATAAATCTTGAAATGTTTTTGAGTACCTCAAGAAAACCCTTGCTTTGGGTGTCCATGGTTTGTTATCATTTTTGACTTGGGTGCTCTACAGGAAGATTTACTTAGACATTAATAGAATATGGAGTTTTATATTAATTTGTGTGGATAATTATTTGTGCTTAGTTTGTTTTATGAATTAGGTTCTTATCAAAATAAACATGGGCAATGTCCGTAGTATTTTCTGTATGAATTTGTGTAACACATGAAGCTTTTTCTTCTGTCTAAGAAACTAATCTGAGCTGTTAATATCCAAACTGGAAATTATTTAAGATTAACATTTCCAATTTATTGTTGGTAAATTAATTTATTGGCAAAGTCAATCACATTTACAGGAAATATTCCTCATGGAAATGAAAGAGAGAAAGAAAAAGACAGAGAAAGAAAAAAGAAAGGAAGAAAGGAAGGAAAGAAAGAAAGAAAAGATTACAGATAGGAAGCCAGCTGCTAATACTCTAAAAACTGAGTTAAGAGAGAAGTTAGTGTGGTAGAGTATCCATTTTTATGTTTATTTCTAATCCTAATTTCATATAAAAGATTTGGGATTTAATGTTAACTAATACATTCTTCAACACAATTCCCCATGCAAGGAACAAGGAGTAGAATTCTCCAAACAAGTTCCAAAGGTCAGTTGCATGAATTTTGAATTGCTTTGTTGAAAATGATGTTTAGAAAGTGTTATCCAATACTCACGTAATCTTAGTGCTCATGACTCAACAGTCTGCTGGACTGTTTGGATTGGATTAATTTCATGGACATTTTATCTTTCCATAGAAAAATGTTTTTCAGAAAGGGCTTATTTTTTCACAGTGTACCAAAAAATGAAGTCATTCTTCATTTTGAAAATAAACATTTTTCTCCTTATAAGACATTATGTATCAAGCACTAAGGCATATTTCTTTATCATTAAGTTTAAGAAAGAATGTTAGCATGAGGGGAAGGGGTTTGGAACAAGACAATGAATCATCTCTAGGAAATGAGTATACACTAGATTTTGATTTGTGAATACTGAGCAGAGCTGTGGCCTCTCATATATTAAAGGAAGCACGAAGTTGAAATGTAATTAATCACAAAATATAGGCCAGTATCTCACCTTAATTTATGTAAAGCATACAGGTTAAAGTATATAATAAGAAAAGGTAATAGAGTTTTGTACTTTGTTCTTAAACTACTATAATATGCATATATGAAAATATAGATCCATTCCAACAAAAAGTTTTTTAAGTGTCAAATATAGTCTTGTTACAAGAAATTCTACTTTTTCTTAGCTATGAATACACATATTCTATGTGTAGTGTATGTACCAAGGGTTAAAATACTACTTTTTCAGACAATTTATAGCTCTTTCAGTATGAGATTGTTTTGTTTTTCTGTCTCTATTTAGGATGGATGATGCTGAAGCCTGCTTTATTCTGAGCAGCCGCTGTGAGGTGGACAGAACATCATCTGTAAGTTTCTAAATTCTCCCTTAGTAAATTATATATTCCACAGATTGGAAGACTTTTGTTAATTTGATTTTTTAAAAAATTACCAATGGTAAATATTGATGAACTGAAAACTTTACTCAAGGGTAGAAAGTATGTCTTAACTGTTTTGGCCATAATATAAGGTAAATTGTGCTACTGTCTGTTTCAACAAGAGTGTTGAAGTAAATTCTGCTAATTTTGCTTTCTATTGATCAAAATTAAACAGAACTAGACCATTTTTTTGTGTGTGCGTTAAATATGTCCTACATATAATTTAAAGTGGTTTCAATTGGTTTCAAAGTGGTTTCAAACCAATTTCCTCAACTCTAAACCGAGGTAGGTAGATCAAGTAATCTGCATTGGAATCAACTGGAGAGTGTCTAAGAGATGCACATTTGAAGAAACTCTATTCAGGATATCTGGGGTGGTGTTCAGAAATCTGTGTTTTTAAAAAGATCTTCAGATGATTATGAAACACATCTAATTTTGGTGACATTTGAGTTACAGTTAGGTTCAAAGTTTTAAAAGATTACAATTAAGTTAAATAAATTGTTAAATAACTTTTACATTTAAAAATCTATCATATTTATATATATTGTAATTAAAATGCTTTATTATTTTAAATACTGTTACTTAATACATTTTAAAATTAACAAACTTACTTTGGGCCATATCTGTGGTTCACAGACAAAGGGGAGTACTTGCTAGCTTCTATAGAGAAAATGCAAAATATGCATATTATTTTTTTTACATTTCTGGGTCATCAATTAGGCACACTTTATTATACTATGACTCTTAAATGTTGCAAGCTCTGTGATGTCCTTGCTCTAATTTATCAAAACTTCTTAGTCTTTTTAATAAACTTGAAGCCAGCATTGTCAGTCTTCTTTTGAATAAGACTGATATGGATTGAATTCTTTCCTCTTAGAATTCATATGTTGCAGTATCAAACACCAGTATCTCAGAATAGGAGAGAAAGTTTTAGAGACCATGTTTTAGAGATAAGATTTTAGAGATGATATTTAAGAGAAATAATCAGCCAAAGGATGAGGCTTCTTCCAGTATGACTAATAAATGATAATAAAAGGGCATGTTTGAGAGCAGTGTTCAGGGACAATCCCAAATTAACCTGAAGCAGTCAAAAAGGGAGCCCTGGTACAGAGTGTTTCTCACAGATTTTAGATGATACCAGTTTCACAATGCCTTGAATTTACATTTCTAGCATCTACAGTAAGTTTCCATTGTTTAAGCCTGCCAACATGGAATACTAATTTTTTTTGGAACACTTTGTTATAGTTGCCTCAGAGATCTAATAGTTGGGTATCAACCAAAAAAGTGATGCAAAAGTAGTAAAATATTAGTTTTTGAAAAAAATATATATTTAAAAATTCACTACTCTTCCTTTTCCACATCTACTGCTCTGACTTGGACAACATCTTCTGTAGTTTGACACTACTTTGGTAGTTCCTTACTTTTTTATTTGGTACTAGGTGCCCTGAACATTTTTATAGAAGATGTATGTTTGAACTGAAAATAACCATAAATGCTAGGTTTCTGGATTTTTTGATTTATATAATTATGAATGTTGTGCCCTTTAAGTGGGAAGTTTTTTTTAAATACTTGTAGCCTTTCAGTATCTTTAATGACTTTATATAGTAATGGAAGTATAAGCATTAGGAAATAAATACTTAATAGCTTCTTGAATACCCTTTCCAATGTGCATTGGGGAGCTTCTAGATACACAAAGCGTTGGTACTTTATGAAATTGACAGGGAGTGAATATGGAGATTGATATCCTGAAAGACAAAGGGTTTGCTGGCTGATTAAAAGGCAGTAGAATTTTGGAAGGCAGATAGCAAGTAGAAAAGTGGCAGGAGGTTCAGCCAGAAGGAAACTGAAATTTAGGTTGGGAGAGAAAGCAAATCACAAGCAGGTTATTTTCTGCAGTCAAAGTTTAAAAGTCTCAGAAAATAGAGCTACTATGAGAATAGGGTAATAAGTAAAATTGAAAAAATGAAAAATAGTTACAATTCTATAAGGGATAGGGTTACTTTTGATTTGTGCAGATATGCAATTGCTCATTACTTTCCTAAAGTGGAAAAGTGGTTTACTAACTGGGTAATCTGAACATTTGGGTAATTTGTGAGCATAAATTGTGATTATCTACTTGACTGGATTAAGAAACACCTAATAGTGAATCAACTTGTGCTTGTATCTGTCAGATGTTTCTAGAGATGGCTGGCATCAGGCTCCTATACCGCAAGGAAAGGAGTGACCCATCCTAATTGTGGGTAGCGAGGTATAAAGGCTCATCCTGAATGAAATGGAAGGGGAAGGTCAGCTTTTCTTTGGAAAGCTCCATTTTGCTTCAGTGAGGCATTTTAGCTATTGCCTTTGACTAGAGACATCAGATTGGTTTGCTTTAGCCTTTTAATATAGACTTTTACCTGTCCCTCTCCAAGAAGTGTCCAGGTCTTCAGTTTAGGACTTGTGTTGCCTCATTGATCCTTTTGTTCTGTGACTTTCAGCTTCTTAGGCAGAATAGCTACCAGATCCTCTGTCCTTGAAACGTAAAGATGGCCAATGTGCACTATCGTGCCTCTGATCCTGTAAGCTCAGCTAACAAGTCCTGTAAGCTATATCATACATATATATATATACACATATGTATATATATGATATATAGCATATATATATATATATATGTATATAATTCCTCAGGTGATTCTGTTCTAGGAGACCCTAACCGATAGATTCTTTTCAAAGCCAGTAGGTGTTTTTGAAGGTCTAGATATGTTCTACAATTAGGAAAATTGAGAACAAGTTGAGTCACTGGTTATGACTTGCTTCCAGATGGTCCTGAGAACCCTCAAAACAAAATTCACATCTCTAGCATCACAAGATTGGAGATATTTTCTCTGGAAGAAGAGTCATAGGAAAAGAAAATATCCCCTCTGTGTGTGTGCATGTGTGTGTATTCAAATAAAGAAACTAAACAGGGATGCTATTGTCACAGTCAGAGCATCTTGATCAGAGATTCATGAAGAGAACATCATCGTTACTGGTAGTTTCATAGAGTTCTATGTCTTAAAACGAAGTTTAAGGAGGAAGGGAAAATATAGTATCTGTAAATGCCATAAAGTACGCTACATCTCTGCTCCTTTGACAGTGGAGAGTCTCTCACCTCTTGAGTGTAGAAACTTATGAAAATCTCTGCAGTCTTTCAGAGACAGAAATTTTCAGGGAATTATTAGAAAATGGACTGCAGTCTATTCCTAGTGTGCTCGTATCTGAATATCCATAGGTTATCATTTATCTTTTTAAGAAACCATCCTTACCTGCAGTTGGACACAATCATTCTAGTGAAGATTTATCTAGAATGCACATACAGAACTAGATAAATTATGCATTATTAAGTATTTAACAATGTTAGTAAAGAGAACCATATGTTGCTTGGTAATAAATTTTCGTGCATGTTATTTACTATTTTTGAGGAACATGCTGTTACACTCCCTAGTATAAGCAGTGCTACATTATGTTTTCACTTAGATTGGTTAAACAATTTTAATAGTTCCCAGCCCTTTTCCTATAGCACTTGGTTTTAAATTCATTCAGGAGAGTTGAAATTGCTACTCTTTGGTTCTTCTCAAATTAATAAAATATGCTTGCAAAATATGTAGGCTAGTTTGTTTTTATTTTATTTTTGTTGTTGTTGTTTTCATTCTCTGTATTGAATACATGAGCTCTTAGTCCAGATGAATTATTTTAGTCACCTTTCTTACTAAGTAAGGTGTTCCATTTGGGAGGTAGGTAAACAAAGAGAAAAAAAAAGTTCCTCATTATGATACTCAATCTTGCTACAATTTAATTATTTTACATGCATGTATCTTTTTAAAAATTGTTTTCATTTTTCAGAAAATGAACTCATTAGCCTTTAATATGATCAAGGCAGTGTCATGGTCATTTCTACTTCCAGTAGATGGTGAATGTCTTGCAATGACCATGAAGCTTGTATCTTTGATGTGTTCTTACCTGATGTAGTATCCTCCAGTTAGCTAAGTATTCTCAATTTTAATTAAAGTTGCTCACATTATGCAACTCAGCTATCTGAAAAGATTATAGGGCATTCCTTGGGGAAATAGTTTCACTTTCCTACAAAGGATAATAGTCAAAGCTCATTCTTACATAGTGTACTCTTCAACATGAGTTGAAATGGTGTTGAAACAATTAGGATAAAGGTATAGGTTTGTATTTTACTGACATTGTTAATGTATTTTAAAATAAGTGAACAAAAATATGAGATCAATCATATTGAATCTTTGAGAAATACTTGCTAAGCAGTTAAAATTGGGTAAGAAAATTTTCTTTCCTTAGTTTCAATTCCAAGGATAAGTGTGTGAGATTAATTAATGAAGTGCTTACCATTTCTTCAGGAAGACATGATTTAGGTTCAAATTGGAAACATTTGTCCTTAGAGCACATCAAAAATGATGTCTCAGGGGTGACATTGTCTTGTAATATTTTCTGACTGTACCTGTGCATATGTGTCAGTGATATTTTCCTATCACTAGGATGAAATACTTAACCTCCACGACTTAAAGAAGTTTGGTTCACAGATTTAGAGGATGCATTCCAAAGTCAGCTGGCTATAAGGTCTGGCTCTCATGGCACAAAAGTGTGATGTAACAAAGCTGCTTGATTCATAGGGAACAGAAAACAGGCCCGGGCAACAGCAAAAGAGTGGAAGGGGTGAGGGACCAGATACAGACTCAAAACTCTTCTCTTTGACTGATCCCAAAAGTGTGCTTTACTAATACAATGAGTAGAATCAAACTTGTGGAGTTGGCAATTAACTATAATTATCACAACATACCTGAATTAATAATAATCTGTTGTAAATAAATAATGCACTTTTTAGATCCAAGCAGCTAAATTTGTTGATACATAGGTATTATTTTAAAGGTGTTTTCTTCAAGGTAATT